GAGATACTGTGCTTATTTCCTCCTGTTAATGTAGAGAAATACTGCTTTATCTCACATTCTATATTGTGATAGCTGTTGATAAATGCTGGGTTTTTTTAGCTGTGACACTAGTCATTTTTCTCTATTAAAATAAACATAAATTATTGTTGCTCTGTGAATCATTGCAACATTTTATTTCATCACTAAGATTTAGGAGCCTGATTTATAAATGAAGAGTTTGAAGTGCTGACATAAGTCTCACACACCATATTTTCATTTCTAAGGTCAAAATTCCCATTTAGGCGCTTTCTTTGGACAACTTTCCTTCTCCCCATGTTGAAAATTGCAGAACTCAGGGCTTTAAAAAAAATTTTTTTAAATGCTTGGTAGTTTGTTTGTTTTTTATTTGGCTATATAAGTTGTTGAAAAGGAGAATATAGTATCTTAGTTCTTCGGACTCCTGCCAGGAACTCCGTGCACCATTCAATATGTTGCATGCAATGTATTTTATATTAGAATTATTTGGGATGTTTTGTAAATGTACTGTAGGATCTTTAAATCTGCTTCATGATTTCTAAAGCAATAAATTCTTTGGCTCAACTCGGTTTAAATGATATTGCATCAGAACTTTGTAGCCAAGCTTTACTTGCAGGTTGTATAAATCATGAAAAGCTATAGAAGTGTAACTGTGGGGAATGATAAATCATAAGTCATCTATAACTTCTCAGAGCCTTGCCAATGATCCACTACTCAACCAAAGTGCACACTGATTTTATTTTGAGAACTGTGAATATAATACTTAGTGAGCCTCTTGCGGGAGTAAGCGGGAGAGGAACAAAGATTGTCAGTTGGAGCTTATGCGCTCCTCTGATGTATTTTAGGAACTAGGCCTTGAGGCTTTGCATTTTGACAGATCTCCTCCACTTCTCATTCGGAATTCTTCTGTGGCCATATTTTGTTTTGTGGAAAGCACACACAATGTAGTGATTTGGTGAAATACACAAAAAGAGTAAAGAGAGGGATTTAATTAAAATTCTTGTAGCAAGGTCTAGTGTCTGCTTTTCTTCCATTCCTGTGCTGTCCTTGGCTTCAAATATTTAGGAGATGGGCTTCTGCCATGGTTTTACATTAGTCTCTCTAGGGCTAAGTCCCACGTTCATGTACATACATTCACAGTAGCTCTCATCGAGCTTGTATTTGTATAAATAGCAGGGTGGCTGCACTGGCATGGGTAGTGGCACAGCTGAGCCGTGCTGAGTACAGACTTGCTGGTGCTGCTCAGCTGTGCCTCTGATGCCTTCTGCCCATGATAGTGTGGCTACACGGCTAATTTACACTCATGCTTGCTCAATGACTGCTAGCACAACTATGTGCACACAAATAGGGAAATGACTACCCTACTTCATAGTGTAGACATTGCCTGATGCTATTGGTCTAAGATGACAGTAGCAGTGTTCAGTTCATGTTGGCCACATGGAGAATAATGCATGGTCTATTTACATGCAGTGGACCAGTTTGCAATTTGCCTACAAGGTCAAATGGAACACAGGGGCTATGTCTAGACTACATCCCTCTTTCGAAAGAAGGATGTAAATTAGACATATTGAAATTGCAGATGAAGCCAGGATTTGAATTTCCTGCACTTCGTTTACATAATCGTGTCACGAAGTTCTTTCAAAAAAGGCTATTCGAAAGTGAAACTGTGGTCTAGACACAGTTCTTCCAAAAAGAAAAACCTTTTTTGAAAGATCCTGTAATGAGTTTCGAAAAAGGCTTTTCTTTTCAGAAGAACTGCGTCTAGACCATGGTTTCACTTTCGAAATAGCCTTTTTCAAAAGAACACTGTGATGCGATTATGCAAATGAAGCATGGGAAATTCAAATGCTGGCTTCATTTGCAATTTTGATATGTCTAATTTACATCCCTCTTTCAAAAGAGGGACATAGTTTAGACATACCCAGGGTTCTACACAGAATCTCCATTTTAAAAAAACTACTACCTTTTCCTGAACTAGAGTGCCTCTTGCCTTCGTTCTCAATTCATTCACTAAATCTGATCTTGTTTGCACCATGGAGAGGTAGGTGCTGGTGAGGTGGCTACTGATCTATCTTGTGCTACTCAATCTAAGATCTTCCCTGAAGTGATTAAGATGCATCTTTTCTTCTGTCTCTGTACCTCCACCTTTTTGCTCTTCCCTACCCAATTTAAACTCTTAGGCAGTGTTAATTGGAAAGAATAATTTATTTTTGTCTCCCTGTTGTGGGGAGAGTGTGCCTCATCCCTTCTTAGGACCGGCTCAGGGCAATGATGGCCCACAGCTGAATCTATACAACCATCCCTTGTCTTGGGGTAGATTAGCCTAAGGTAGAAGTCAATATTGGAAGCCCTCCCTCAGGGCTGTGTGGCCGAGTGGCCAGAGTCAATAGGACTTCTCTCTTTGGTAGTGTTATTTGACCTGGCGTCCTGCCAGAGAAATAGGCCACCAACTCAGGCACTGGTTGAATAGGGGAAACCAAACCAGCCCCTGTTACCTCAGTTCCCAGTTTAGGGCCCTGTCACCAGTGCTGGATTTATGTGGCAAGCTAAGTAAGGTACAGCTTACAAAAATATTACTAGTCTTTAGTTGCATCTTTGCCTATGTACCAATATATATGCAAATATAAAACTTTATTATTTCTATTTTCATTGTCTTTTCTGTTTGAATAATACATATTTTTTGGTAATTTTATGGAGCCTCTTAAACTTGATGTAGTTTAGGGCCTCAGCATGTCTTAATCTAGCCCTGCCTGTCACTGGCAAGTATCCCCTCCCCTTGTCAGCAGGGAACATGCCTGAAACACACTGACTCCACATGGCATAATAACTACTCCCCCCGAGCTACTTCTTATTCTGTTCCTGATGCAGCAGCCCTGGCATTTCTGGGATCACTGGGCTTCTCTGTCAGCATGGCTCCTAACAGCTCTGGTGCTCCCTAGGCATCCTCCAGAGTCTTACCATCTGGGATTTCCATGGTTTCCAGGCTGGAACTACAGTATCAGAGCGCATCCTCCCTCCTCAGCAGTCAGCCCTAAATGAGCCAAGCTGCTTGCTTTTATGTCTAATCTCTAGGCACAGCAGGTCCAGCAGGCCCATGGGGGTATGACTCCCCAGCTCAGATAGTATAGTTAACCCTCACAGAACCAGTGCAGGGCAAGTGCATCTCATCACAGTCCCCTAGTACAAACACTCCCATTCCTAACTAACTCTATTACTGAATCACTTGCAGAAAAATCCTGTAATATTTAGTAGGGTAGTTAAAAACCTCCCCTGGGATTTCTGAGCAACCATGACATAGCTATCATGTTTGCTTGGAAAACCAGGAGTTCCTTAGTCACCACATGAAGGATTTGAGTGTATGTCTGCTGCCAGTTCAGTAGATACCTAGTTCACAGACATAGTGGAAGTCTTTTTGGCTGTATCATGAAATAGAGGTCAGAAATGAAACCAGTGCAGCATCAGCCTTTACTAAGTGACATCATTATTAAAGACTGTGGCTGGAGAAGAGGCTTTTTAAGAACCCCCTGAATGTCCTGGGAACAGCCTAGGAGAATTCCACCTAGCTTGAGGCAGGAGTAGGAGGAAACTATAGTGCCTATTCCCATCCTGAGACATCTAAGGTAAGCTTAGATGATTTCCTTGGCAAATCGTGGAGGGGGATGAGAGCTAGCTGTTGGGAGGTCAATGGTTAAAGATGTGGTTCTGTGAGAGGGAAGGGAGCTATGAAAACATCTTGAGGCCAAATTCCTAGAGTTTTCTTAAATGTGGACTGAATTTAGTGGTTTGCACAGGAACACAACCGGTCAGTAGAGCCCAATATTTTCATATGTGAGAGCCAAAATTAGGCATCCAAATAAGCCACCTGGCCTTAAGAGTTGCTGGTGAACACCTACCAAAATTAGGTATCCAAATAGGCAACCTGGCCTTAAGAGTTGCTGGTGAACACCTGGAATTCCCACTGAAGCGAAAGGGAGCTCCAAGTACTCAGCACCTCTGAAAGTCAGACAGTTTTCATTTGTCTGTCTCTCTTATGGCAATAAGTGCCTAACTTTAGGACACTTGCAAATGTTGATCTACCCTTAAAATTGAAGCTTGAAAGTCTCTTGGCTTCCAGTTCTACATTAATCATTAGACAGTGATGACTCTTTTGATCATTGTTCTTCTTTCCAGTAAGCTACAAAGTGATTAATAATGAACTTTTAGAACAACAGTGGACCTTCAATTGCAGTAACATCAATTCATAACACATTCCTGTCAGGCCTCACAAATTAAATGGGCTCTGCACAGGTTCATAATTTGGATGAAAGAGCATCACCATAATAGTGAAGTTCATAGGTGAGCAAATGACATAATTTCTTCTGACTCGTTACTGAATTGTACCCAGTGTGATACTAGTGAGCCCTTTTGAATCTCATCTTTTGAATGAGTTGCAGAATGACAGCAGTTCAAAGATTGGAAAAAATTATTTTTAGGGTTTTTTTTTTTTTTCTCACTCTCTCCTCTTTATCAGAGCAGAATTATTTTCTATTGTACATTTTGTATTTTAAAACTTATTTCATTTAAAAATGTCTAGAATAGCAAAATAGATTTAAAAAATATCTTGAAAAGCCTAACATTATAGAAATAAACAAAATATATTTTGGAAGCAAAAAATCTGTCAGCTTTCCACTGGCCCGCAGAAATTTCTGTTTTGTCAGGCCTAATTTTTGAATGTTCCAATTTTAAGATGAACATCAAGAATAACTCTTAATTTAATCTAATTCATTTTATCACTTTATAAGATTTCAGATAAATATTAAGGCGGGTAAATAATTAATTTTCAAATACTTTAACTGGTTAGATATTTTTAGACTTCTCCCTTGTATTTCTCACTTACCCATATTATACATATTTAACTCTTTCAGTTTGTCATTATAAATCAGTATCTCAGGCTCTTGTTTTTCCAAACAATATAATAACAGTTTAACTATTTTCTTTTTCTCCAGGGCCACCTTCTGCTCCACGGAATGTGATTTTTAATATTAATGAAACAGCTCTTATGTTGGAATGGAGCCCACCTAGTGACACAGGGGGGAGAAAAGATCTCACCTACAGTGTTATCTGTAAAAAATGTGGATCAGACACCAGCCAATGCGAGATATGTGGTGGAGGAATCCGTTTCATCCCAAGACATACAGGCCTGATTAACTCATCAGTGACTGTGCTTGATTTTGTGTCTCATGTTAACTATACCTTTGAAATAGAAGCCATGAATGGAGTCTCTGAGCTGAGTTTCTCTCCCAAGCCGTTCACAGCTATCACAATTACTACAGACCAAGATGGTAAGTTTTGTTGTTCTGCATCAATTACTGCCTGTGGAGTTTGTGTATGTTTGTAGCACCTGTTTGTAGCTAAGTGCCTTTTGTGGAGTTTTGTTCAGTATTCTCCAATCCTATTCATCCATAGCACTCTGCACCTCTCAGGACTGGTTCTTATGGCACTGGTATAGAAAAGCACATATGGACATGCTTGAGTGCCATGAATGTAAGTGCCACGTATGCTTAAAATTAAGGATATTTGAAAATAGAGGAATTGGCTAACTGAGAGATGGCTCTATTTCAGAAAAGGGATAAAGAATTACATTGAACAGGTAACTTTTCTTCACTGATTACCGGAAGCAGCATAAGGAAGTGGAAAACTTTTATGAATCCATCTTATGGAGAGCCTCGGAAGAGGGGAATGGTCAGTCTTTAAACCATTGCAATATACTGATGAATCTGTTATTTTATTGGCATGCTGTATCCTCAGGAATCTGCAATATACTGATGAATTTGTTATTTTATTTTATTGGCATGCTGTATCCTCAGGAATAAGGATATAGTAGTCAAATGACATATGCATTTTAAAAGATTAAAACTTAATGCTAATTATACACTGATTCCACATATTTCATGCTGCAGAAGGGAGAAAATAAAATAAATTGAAATGTACTTAATTAGGAAACTTGGCCGCATCATTACTTTGTTCAATATGCTATAGCTTAGATTTCTGCAGACCTTTTAGACACTCCATCTCTCATTATGTGAAAAATCCTAACATGCATGTGTGTGAGAGCTTGAAACTGTGGGATTTGGGGATTTTGTTGTTTTGGAAGTGTGTTCTGTTTTGTAGCTAAACTTATGTTGTAGATAGATTTTTATGGCAAACATGATAAACTAGAAGAATTCCTGTATCTTTTATTTCTATTTGTGTTCTCTCTGTCTCTGTGGGAGCCCATAGAAATATCTGCTATGACAGCAAACAGCACAATGTGTTACCAACAATATTATCTATATTGGTGTTCTCTTCTGGCTCATGGTGTTGTAGATCAAAAGGTGGCTTCAGAATTATTCCTCGCTGACATTTGTTCCAGAAATGTGTATTCACCTGCTGTGCTGTGACATTGCAACACTAGCTGAAGTTCTTAATATAAAGCTTCAGGGAGCAGAGTATTTAATAATCAGTTTGTCAAACTTTTATTAGTAAAAGTGCTAATGTAATAGTATTTAGTAAAAGCCCTAATGTTTGTGAGAATCTAATCATGCTTTCTTGTATTCAGACACTTAATTCCTGCTTAGGTCAACCTTGAAAATTCTGGGGTGAGTAGCTTTGTTGATGAGTGAGTAAATGACTCGTTTTTGTTTCCACTTGGGCAGACAAACTGAAAACTCACTGTGTTAGAAAATGGTCAAGAAAAATGATCACAACAAACACAATCTATTTGCCTCCCTCCCCACCATGGTGATGATCATAAAAAAGCTAATGATATAACAATCTACTAGTGTATTGTTTTGGTTTGAGAACTGTCTGTAATCCTCACAAGCTTTGTAGCATATTTTGATCTATATCCCTTTTGAAAACTCTTACCCATTCTCACTAAAGCAAAAAGCAGTCAGTAGCACCTACAGTATGTACTTATTTTTAGAGGTACTGTTATATGATGCTAAATACATGTCACTAAGTGTGCACAGAGGTCACCAAAGATATTTTATTTTTAAGCTAGTAAACAGCTGTCTGAACAGATTATGAACTGTAGCTAAACCAAAGATTTTTCTTACTTTTTTTCTATCATTTGCTATTGTCTCTTCCCGGTATAACAGTATAGATTTTCACTCCACCAAACAGGGGGGAAAGCTATGATTTGTTAATTTCTACTAGCCTGACAGTAAATTCTAGTAGGTGCTCAGTTTCCTTTCATCACAATAATTCTTACATTTTTAAAGATGTTACTGTTAAAGCTTCAGAGAATTTAAGGATGGATTTTCACAATCTCAGTCAATTTATTTGGATATAAAAAGGACAGTTTTTTGTACAGGAAGAGGCAGTGCAAATAAATGAAACAACAAGCCTCTCTAAAAACATTTATATGAAGATAAAAGCACTTTTGTAGTCTTAGAGAAGTTGCCGGTTAGTCTTTAAAATGCCACCGAACTTCTTGTTTTTGCTAAAACAGACTAACAAATTTATTAGGGGGTTAGGGCATAAGCTTTCAAGAGCTACAACTCACTTTCTCAGATGTTGAAGAGAAAAAGAAAGAAAGACCAGGGGAAAGAGGGGCAAATACAGAGATGGGCTTTTGGATGTTGCCATTCTTATTGCCCAATTTGTGTCCATTCATTCTTTTGCATACAGATTGTCTGGTTTGTCCAATATACATGGCAGAGGAGCATTGTTGGCACATGATGGCATATATTACATGTGAAGTTGAATGAGCCTTTGATAGTATAGCTGATGCATTTAGGTCTTATGATGGTGTCACTAGGGTAGATGTGTGAAAAGAGTTAGCAACAGAGTTTTTTGCAGGGATTGGTTTCTGGGTTGGTGTTTCTGTTGTGGGGTGTGAAGTTGGTGGCATTACTCAGGTAAATTCTCATTCAAGTTCTCTCGCCTTCTCACCACTGTTGGAGTTGAGCCACTTTGATTTAATTAGCACTGTTGTCATACTTCCATCTCTGTGTCCTTTTTTTCTGTCCTTCTTTATAGCATCTGAGGAAGTGAGTTCACAAAAGCTTTTGCTCAAATACCCTAATACATTTGTTAGTCTTTAAAGTGCCACCAGATTCCTTGTTGGTTTTTGAGAATAGTAGGCTCTATGTCCAAAAGACAAAGAAAATATTAGTGGAAAATATGCTGAGGGAAAAATATTAATGTAGTTTTGCTTGATGGAACTATGTAGAGAACACAAAGTGGTTGTTGTTGCAAGCTTCTGGTTAAGCCTGAATTTAAAAGTGGTAACAATGAAAGAATAGAAGGGAATTGAAGCTGAAAAAAGAAGACTGAGACGAGCAGTTAGCTACAGGTTGCACCTCTCTAAACCAGGACCACTCGTTTGCCAGGACCAGAGTCCCAGTGGAGGGCTAGCAGCTGAGAGCCCTGAGACCTGGAGGGACAGTGGGGCTGCCCGATAGGGCCAGGCTGCCTGGAAAAGCCAATGGCAAATGGAGCCAACTGGGAGGCCAACATCTGGGACAAGGTTGGGGGTGGGAGAGAGAGGACAGGTGCCTGAGGGACCAAAAATGAGCCCCTCTGGTCTGGCAAAATACCTCATCCAGGACTGGTCAGGTCCTGTGAGTGCCAGACCAGGGAACTCCAACCTATAATTAATTTGAATAAATTAGAACCAGTATTTCAGAGACTTACTATTTATAAAGCACTTTGAAATTCTTGGGTGTAAACTGTAATATGAATGCAAATTGTTAGAACTGTTCTATTTCTGTGTATTTTTCCTGTGTTCACTAAGTGTTAGTGAGATAATACGTAAGGATGTAATCTTCATGGACAAATTTGATGTACATGTGTGGGGGTGGCGCTTAGATAACATCCAATATCTGTGAAATGTTTTAGAACCAACTGTTACTTTCTCCTGGTAGTGCTTAGATAACATCCAATATCTGTGAAATGTTTTAGAACCAACTGTTACTTTCTCAAAATAATCCCACTAATAAGATGTATTGCAGGAAATTCCTCCCTAGGTGTGAAAATCTAAAAGGGACATTTCAGTCTGTGAGGAAATAAATGCATAAAGTATTTAGAATTTTTTAAATATGCATAAAGCATTACTTTCTAGCCCTTAGGTATATTTGAATTGTAGACATTGGCCACAACTCTCTAGTTATCACTCTGATGCATTCTGATATATTTTACAGTTTCTTTTCCCAGATTAGGGGAACTTTATTCTTAAAATGAGGTGGGGTTTTTTTTTTCAAAATGTGTTTGAATGTTTTAACTCTGTTAAGGAGAGGGATATTTTACACATGAGTAAGTTTGAGCACTGAATATTTTTATTCCCCAAATTATGAAAAATATTGCATAGAGAAGCAATTGCTTCTCCAACTACTAATTCAGGAATGAGACACTACTTACTATTTTAGTCACATAAGCTTCTTGCCATGCCTTAGGATACACCATAACTAACAATGAGAGTCAAAATTACTCAAGGCTCTTACTAATGACTAATGTATGCAATACAGAAAGGAAAACAAAGATTTTAAAAAAATGAATAATAAAACAAAAGACAAGAGAACAATGGGTTAGTTCAGTTACAATTTCATATGTTGTATTTTTCTTGTGGAGAGCTTCCAATAGAGCTTGGAGCTCCAGAAAAGCTATGCAACTCACAATCAATAGTTCCTGTGCAGATCCTCTACAAATTACTAGATGGTAGAGCAACATTTCAGGTTCAGGCTGTTGGGCTTAAATAGGCACTACCCACACATCATATTATGCTCTTGAATTAGTTGTGCTCTTCACATAAATAATCAATTCAAGTATCTGTGGGAGGCTCAAAGCCAAGGTATAGGTTAAAATTAACTTAATTTTGTAACCTTGAATTAGTGTTTCTCAAAGTGGTCTGCAGACCCACTCAGAGAGCTCTACGGGGTGATTGCAGTGGTTCACTGTTTGCAGCCAAGAGGAGCCATGGGAAGCAGCGTGACCTGAGTCTGCATGACAGCTTGGTCATGGGAGCAGAGCTGCAGCAGCCTGGCTGGCAGTAAGGCCAGGTCACAGCAGCCCTTTAGGGGAAGTCTGTCTAGGGCTGCGGCAGCAGAGCCAGGGCCATGGCAACCCAGCTGGGGCCAGAGCAGACAGTGGGCTGTGCGTCATCCAGCAGCAGGGATGGTGCTGCCACAGCAATCCAGCTCAGACTAGGTCAGTTCAGGCAGGGCCACATGCCACAGCAACGGAACCAGGGCTGCGTGCTCCAGCGCTGGCAGTGGGGCTGGGGCAGTGGTTCTGAGAGCGGGCGAATTCCCTCATCTGGAACTGCTCAGGCCCTGAGCATCCTGGGCCAGGCCGGTTCTGA